AACCTCCTGTTAATATAAAACCTGTACACAACCTCCTGTTAATATAAAACTTGTACACAACCTCCTGTTAATATAAAACCTGTACACAACCTCCTGTTAATATAAAACCTGTACACATCCTCCTGTTAATATAAAACCTGTACACAACCTCCTGTTAATATAAAACCTGTACACAACCTCCTGTTAATATAAAACAAGTACACAACCTCCTGTTAATATAAAACCTGTACACATCCTCCTGTTAATATAAAACCTGTACACAACCTCCTGTTAATATAAAACTTGTACACAACCTCCTGTTAATATAAAACCTGTACACAACCTCCTGTTAATATAAAACCTGTACACATCCTCCTGTTAATATAAAACCTGTACACAACCTCCTGTTAATATAAAACCTGTACACAACCTCCTGTTAATATAAAACTTGTACACAACCTCCTGTTAATATAAAACCTGTACACATCCTCCTGTTAATATAAAACCTGTACACAACCTCCTGTTAATATAAAACCTGTACACAACCTCCTGTTAATATAAAACCTGTACACAACCTCCTGTTAATATAAAACCTGTACACAACCTCCTGTTAATATAAAACTTGTACACAACCTCCTGTTAATATAAAACCTGTACACAACCTCCTGTTAATATAAAACCTGTACACATCCTCCTGTTAATATAAAACCTGTACACAACCTCCTGTTAATATAAAACTTGTACACAACCTCCTGTTAATATAAAACCTGTACACATCCTCCTGTTAATATAAAACCTGTACACAACCTCCTGGTAATATAAAACCTATACACAACCTCCTGTTAATATAAAACCTGTACACAACCTCCTGTTAATGTAAAACTTGTATACAACCTCCTGTTAATATAAGACCAGTACACAACCTCCTGTTAATATAAAACCTGTACACATCCTCCTGTTAATATAAAACCTGTACACAACCTTTGTTAATATAAAACCTGTACACAACCTCCTGTTAATATAAAACCTGTACACAACCTCCTGTTAATATAAAACTTGTACACAACCTCCTGTTAATATAAAACCTGTACACAACCTCCTGTTAATATAAAACCTGTACACATCCTCCTGTTAATATAAAACCTGTACACAACCTTTGTTAATATAAAACCTGTACACAACCTCCTGTTAATATAAAACCTGTAGCTTTGATTTCATAAGCAGGAATTCAGAAATACGCAAATTCGTTTACACGTACAACGAACCGGAATCATTATCTAAGGTATACAGGAAGAACTATCTGGGGTAAACCGGAAGAACTGGTGTAAACTAGAAACAGCATAAGTGAGTTTATTTCATAGATTAAACCGGAATCGTTATCTGTTAGACCATCTTTTACATGTTACAACAAACTAGTAGAATTATTTGTGATTGGAGACTAAAAATGACAACACCCCCTTTAAAAAAAATAAATAAGAACTGCAATCGTGATCTGCGGTTGAGGCCATACGCTTTCAAACCGGAATAATTGTCTGTGGTTAAGGTCATGCATTACGCGTTATCTGTGTTTGAAGCCATACATTAAGAAACTGGAAGACCTATATATGATTGAGGCAATATATTGACATACACGTGTATGTGAATAAGGCTATACATTAACAACAACCGAAAACATTATCTGTGGTTGAGGCCATACACCAACAAACATTGGAAGTACTGAATGTGATCCAGGCCATGAACTAATAACAACCGGAAGCAGTAAAGCGTTGAAGCCACACATAAACAAACCGAAAGTATTATCTGTGGTTTATACCAAAAGTTAACAAAAACCAGGAGCGTTGTCTGTGGTTGTAGCCATACACCAGCAAACCGGAAGTACTGAATGTGATTGAGGCCATGAACGAACAACAACCGGAAGCGTTATATGTGGTTGAAGCCATATATAAACAAAGTGAAAGTATTATCTGTAGTTATATCACAAATTAGCAAAACCCGGAAGCGTTGTCTGTGGTTGTGGCCATACACCAACAAACCGGAAGTACTGAATGTGATTGAGGCCAGAACTAACAACAACCGGAAGCGCTATATGTGGTTGAAGCCATATATAAACAAACCGGATGCATTATCAGTGGTTTATTCCATCTATCATCAAACCCGGAGGCGAAGACAATACATTAACAAAAAATGTTATTTGTGATTGAGGCCAAGAATTAAAAACCACCCGGAAGTGTTATCTCTGGTCGAAGCCATACATTAACAAACCGAGAGAATTATTCCTAGTCTCTATGATACATCCACAAGGTTAAAAATCTATCTTTCTCGTTGTACACAACCAGATTCATTTCCCGCGTATCTTGTTTTGGAGGAAAATAAATCGCTGTAAGCGGTGATGTAACATACTGCCTAGGGTTGTGACACTGATATCTGCCACAAAACCTTGGCATCGCCGTAAATATCAAAGTTCTGAATAAAAAGTGACAGACTGATTTTCGTAATGATAATCCGATCAAGATGAAAAAAACCGGACACAGTGCTGGCAGATTAATAATGTTATGAAAAGTTTCTACGTGTGACATTACACAGCAACAATTATTTTTATCTGTGACCTTGAATACTGTGAGATAATGCCAGGAAATGAAATCGAGGCCCAGACCCAACTTGAATGTGAGAACGCTACCACGTGCGAAAAAAGTGATTTCCAAATCACGCTGTGGATATTTTTTCTGCTTTTGGTAGATTTCTTATTTGGACTGTGTTCTGTATATCATCTAGATCTCATACAATTAAGTCATTTAAATTGTTGTGAGAGAATTGGAAGTTGTCTAGTCTGGACTGCCGGGACGGAAACATTTATTTGTGTGAATTCAGTGCAAACTTGATAGTTCGGACACTATCAGAAAAGCAAATTTACGATACTCTAATTATTGATATGCAGAATATATAAACTCGGCATAAAACACCTGGTTCAGAGGACGGGTGGGGGGCAACATTAGTTGGATCATCTCGGTAGGAGTATGTAATTCTAAATGAGTAATGCACTTCCAGCGTGTCCATAAAACCTCCAGCACAACCATTCCAACGTAAAACTAATAATGTTTGTGTCAAAGTCAAAAAAGCTGTTCTGTTTACTGAGTTCGCCATCCCAGTTTGCCGATCTTAGAAGTCATTTTCCGGTCTGTCCAAGTGTGTAATTCTGCCGAACTTGATCATAGTCTATCTGCCTATCTTACCTTATAACCTTGGTTACGCGGCGCCTGCATTTATATCGGAAAGACTTCTTATTACGAAAGGCAACGAACTGGACAATTACATTGAGTCTTTAAGATCTACGTCAGTGTGAGTACAGGCCTTCTCGTATCAGTCTGTACGGTGTTATTTGATTACTGTTGGGCCTTTAGGGTGCAGGGAAAATGTTCCACAACGATGAAAAATAAGCTTGGGGCTATATATATGTGTAATTTTATAAAAATGCCATCAATTTAATAGCTAACGAGATATTTAAACGGGAAACAAGGCTTTGATATTTGTGAAAATTACATCAAGGATCCTGAGCGTAATGGGATCGCAGAAATGCGTTGTTTCTCGTCATAGATTTTATTTGATACTGGAGGACGTACGTATATTGATAACAACACTGTGTTGTTGTATTGAAGTGGTCAGTAACAGTGTACCGACAAGGAAACGATATCATTCATCTTTGAACCGACTGTAGTCACAATTTCTTGCAATTGCGGTATAAATCAAATAAAAAAATCACTTTACAACGTGATTTTGATGTTTGTATTAGAAAGGAACATCAGAACGCATTGCCCGGGGGTAGGTGTTTGACTCACTCTGAGTTGTTTAAGTTCGGACTGGTGTTATCGGACACATCCAATTTACAACAGACATCATCCAAAAGGCATAACCAATATCTAAATGATTAATGTTTTGTTATTTGACGTTAGACGAGGACAAACAAATACCGAATTAAACGAGACGAATATATCAAATATCATGACAGTAGAAAATCTGCGGCGGCTGGTCGGGACTATGGCCATGATACTGACACTACGTACACGGTACATACGTTGTTACCAGACTTACACGGCGTACACGGTACATACGTTGTAGTCAGACTTACACGGCGTATACGGTACATACATTGTAGTCAGACGTACACGGTATACACGGTACATACGTTGTAGCTAGACTTACACGGCGTACACAGTACATACGTTGTAGCCAGAACGACGTGGTATACACGGTACATACGTTGTAGCTAGACTTACACGGCGTACACGGTACATACGTTGTAGCCAGACTTACACGTCGTACACGGTACATACGTTGTAGCTAGACTTACACGGTATACACGGTACATACGTTGTAGCTAGACTTACACGGCGTACACGGTACATACGTTGTAGCCAGACTTACACGGTATACACGGTACATACGTTGTAGCTAGACTTACACGGTATACACGGTACATACGTTGTAGCTAGACTTACACAGCGTACACGGTACATACGTTGTAGCCAGACTTACAGGGTATACACGATACATACGTTGTAACTAGACTTACACGGTATACACGGTACATACGTTGTAGTGAGACTTACACGGTATACACTATACATACGTTGTAGTCAGACTTACACGGCGTACACGGTACATACGTTGTAGCCAGACTTACACGGCGTACACGGTACATACGTTGTTGTCAAACTTACACGGTATACACGATACATAACGTTGTAGCTAGACTTACACGACGTACACGGTACATACGTTGAAGCCAGACTTACACGGCGTACACGATACATACGTTGTAACTAGACTTACACGGCGTACACGGTACATACGTTGTAGCCAGACTAACACGGCGCACACGGTACATACGTTGTAACTAGACTTACACGGCGTACAAGATACATACGTTGTAGTTAGACTTACACGATGTACAAGGTACATACGTTGTAATGAGAAATGAACGACACATTTGATCCTAAATGACATTGTACGCATGCGTTACTTACCACTGAATGACGTATTCAGGATGTACTCTTTGAGAAGGCGTTCCCCGTCGATCTTTTTCATATTTTCACAGAGTTTAGTTGTACCCGGACAAACGTCCCTTTGCATCCGATCCAGGGACAGCGCCATGGCATACACAGCGTTATAAATGAACTGTACTTTTGTTTCCTGTTGATACACGTCGAGTTTTTTCTCCTGTCCAGTACAGTTCTTTTTGAACTCTTGACCCGTTACTGCTTTGCTACTTTTACCACGAAATTTACACTCATGAACAGTTTCCCAGTACTCTTTAAACCATGGATTTCTTGTATTCGTTTCTGGTTTTAATTTCAAAAAATAAGTATCAAATTCCGGAATTAAAGTTGAATCTAGCTCTATAGTCATTGCCCCCTCCGCGATGTCTTCGTTCCCTAACACGGGTTTATCTTGCATACCCCAACCGTCACTCGCGATCCACGTAAACCGATGATACAGTTTTTTTCTCTTAGCTGCTAGTAACAAATTACGCGCATCTTCCACGCGCAGAAACAAAACAACAATCATAGCATTTTTCTTACTGTCTAAATCTTCTATAGCTGTATCGAACGTTTCCTGGTTTGAATTAGAAATAATCTTGATTGAAATAGAAATACAAATGTTTCTTGATCTAGCCTCGTTTTGGAATGATTCTATTCCAGATTGTCCATAATCGCCTTCCGAAGCTACCGTCGACACGTACGTCCAATTAAATAATTGCACGATATCTGCCATCGCCTTGGCCTGGAAGCCATCCGGCGGTACAGTCCTTACGAAATAATCGTAACGCTTTTTATCGCTAAGGTCAGCGCTAGTGGATGCATAGCTGATCTGTGGAAGTTTGAATAACCGCAAAAGATTAGCTACCTGTATAGAAACACTGCTGTATGAACCCCCAATGACTCCTGCAATTGCACGTGGTGTAGCGTTTGCCTTCGCTTCGGAACCATCGTCACATTTGAAATCAGCGCTATCCAAATTGGCAAACGACGCTCGAATGAACTCCAGTGACCTTTCAAGCGCATAGGTGCCTCTTGAACACGTGTCGAAAACTTCTGCCCCCAAGTCAATTCCTGGAAGAACTTTCGGATCGGCATTGATTCGGTCAACGGTAAAAAGCATCGCCTCAAGACGCTGTACTCCTCGCTGAATGTTGATTGCACCACATTCGGCCCCATCGTCCCCTTTCTGATGCACAGGAAACAAACCTCCCAGAATAATATCGCCCTCTATGTTTGCTGATTCGTCAGAGCGCGAAAGTTTGCCAGTGTCATTGCCACGGAAGGTTATCACGGAATTTAACAAGTAGGTTTTGTAGAATAAAATTAAGATTACTCCCCACACAACTCGAGAGCGATACCAGATCTCCATCACTGCTCATCACTCTAGATTTTCATTAAGTCCTCGAGAAAATGTCAGCAAATGTCTTCCTTTCGACCAAGATCAATATACCCGTGTCTCAATCAAAATAGGCACTTCTTTCAGCTTCACATTTTCAGTCACCGTTTCGAATTTGTCCCTCTTGACTTTGAAAAATGGCGTCTTGAAACCTGCAAAAGATAAACATTAATTATAAGTAGTAATGTTTAGAAACTGCAATTTGGTTTTTGAAAATAAATTGAATTATCATGGGTTTGATTTTTTATGTTGTGGTTTACTACTCAGCGAATCCCATGACAAAGTCTTTACAAGAATAACCAATTAAGTGCTTTAGGGTTTCGGATACAGGATTTTTTTCATTTCCTGAGGGGCATGCATGATAAATAAACAGATTTCATGCTTACAAAAAATTGTATTCATATATAAGCATATAAATTCAGAATATACATATATAACCTGCATGACGACAAATTCTTTCTGAAGAAAATAGATCCATTTATACATTTATATCTGTAAAGCAGGGAGTCAGAAACCATTTTATGATCAAAAATTGAGACTTGCCGAATATTTGGAATCAAGTGTTTTACACTGGAGATTTGGAATTGTCTGTTCTATCCTATAAAGAGCATTCATTGGCCAATATATGATGAGATCACGTGGTAAGCGTATGACTGTCACCTTTATCAGACACTAGCTGTGTGTCTGGAGAAGGTGAGAACGTTGTCATAGATACACAATATACATTTTTATGCTTCCGGAAGGGAGAACAAACAGTCATGGCTTTGTCCGTCTGTATGTATCAACATGAAACTTGATAGTTACATAGATCTCGATATAGAGAAATGCAGTGTACAAGAACCATAACCCTCATTTCCATAATTCAGGAGTAATTGCCCTTTGTTATTTTTCATTCTTAATTTTTGTCCTGAGCATAACACAAAAACTATGAGAGGTATCAACATGAAACTTGATAAGCAGATGGAGCTCGATAAGGAGAAGTACAATGTACAGAAACCATAACAGTCTTTTCTATAATTTAGGAGTTCTAGCCCTTTGTTATTGTTCATACCTAAATTTTGTTCGAAGCATAACACAAAAACTGTAGGAAGACCATCCATCGGTTCTACCGATCTTTAGCTTGTAAGAACATCTATTCAAAATGTATTAATCCGTTTTTTTTTCAACAAAAAAATAAAAAATGAGTACGGAATGACGAGGACATAAATCGACATTTGATTTTAGTGACACTGTAAATCCAAATTAATATTTCGATGAGAAAAAATTGCACCATATAACACAGTGTCAGGAAAATATGATTACAACGATTATACACATTATAACGTTAAACATACGTTTTAAAAACCAGGCGCTCCTCTTGATGTATACTGTATATATATGGACTTCAGTTGACGGCAGGCGGAGAGCATAGTGTTATCTCTAATCTATAAACGACTTCTAGTTTTTATCTAGACGAGGTACGACTGTCAGATCGAACCTCGACTATATTAGTAGAACATTTCTTCCAGACTCGGGTCTCTTCCATCTCAAAGTAGACAAGGGTCTGGTCAGTCTCACACAGACTCAGGTCTGGCCAGTCTAACACAGACTCGGATCTGGTCAGTCTCACACAGACTTAGGTCTTGTCAGTCTCACATAAACTCGGGTCTGGTCAGTCTCACACAGACTTAAGTCCGGTCAGTCTCAAACAAACTCGGGTCTGGTCAGTCTCACACAGACTTAGGTCTGATCCGTCTCACACAAACTCGGGTCTGGTCAGTCTCATACAGACTCTGGTCTTGTAAATCTCATACATACTCTGGTCATGTAAATCTCATACAGACTCTGGTCTTGTAAATCTCATACATACTCTGGTCTTGTAAATCTTATACCGACTCATGTCAGGTAAATCTCATACATCCTCTGGTCTTGTAAATCTCATACAGACTCTTGTCTTGTAAATCTCATACAGACTCTTGTCAGGTAAATCTCATACAGACTCTTGTCAGGTAAATCTCATACATCCTCTGGTCTTGTAAATATCATACAGACTCTTGTCAGGTAAATCTCATACAGACTCTTGTCAGGTAAATCTCATACAGACTCTTGTCAGGTAAATCTCATACATCCTCTGGTCTTGTAAATATCATACAGACTCTTGTCTTGTCAATCTCATACAGACTCTTGTCAGGTAAATCTCATACAGACTCTTGTCAGGTAAATCTCATACATCCTCTGGTCTTGTAAATATCATACAGACTCTTGTCAGGTAAATCTCATACAGACTCTTGTCAGGTAAATCTCATACAGACTCTTGTCAGGTAAATCTCATACATCCTCTGGTCTTGTAAATATCATACAGACTCTTGTCAGGTAAATCTTATACAGACTCTTGTCAGATAAATCTCATACATAATCTGGTCTTGTCAATCTCATACACACTCTTGTCTTGTAAATCTCATACAGACTCTTGTCAGGTATATCTCATACATCCCCTGGTCTTGTAAATCTCATACACACTCTTGTCAGGTAAATCTCATACATACTCTTGTCAGGTAAATCTCATACAGACTCTTGTCTTGTAAATCTCATACACACTCTTGTCAGGTAAATCTCATACAGACTCTTGTCAGGTAAATCTCATACAGACTCTTGTCAGGTAAATCTCATACAGACTCTTGTCAGGTAAATCTCATACAGACTCTTGTCAGGTAAATCTCATACATACTCTTGTCAGGTAAATCTCATACAGACTCTTGTCAGGTAAATCCCATGCAGACTCTTGTCAGGTAAATCTCATACAGACTCTTGTCAGGTAAATCTCATACATCCCCTGGTCTTGTAAATCTCATACACACTCTTGTCTTGTAAATCTCATACAGACTCTTGTCAGGTAAATCTCATACAGACTCTTGTCAGGTAAATCTCATACATCCCCTGGTCTTGTAAATCTCATACACACTCTTGTCTTGTAAATCTCATACAGACTCTTGTCAGGTAAATCTCATACATCCTCTGGTCTTGTAAATCTCATACAGACTCTTGTCTTGTAAATCTCATACAGACTCTTGTCAGGTAAATCTCATACATACTCTTGTCAGGTAAATCTCATACAGACTCTTGTCAGGTATATCTCATACATCCCCTGGTCTTGAAAATCTCATACACACTCTTGTCAGGTAAATCTCATACACACTCTTGTCTTGTAAATCTCATACATACTCTTGTCAGGTAAATCTCATACATCTCCTGGTCTTGTAAATCTCATACACACTCTTGTCAGGTAAATCTCATACAGACTCTTGTCAGGTAAATCTCATACAGACTCTTGTCAGGTAAATCTCATACAGACTCTTGTCAGGTAAATCTCATACAGACTCTTGTCAGGTAAATCTCATACATCCTCTGGTCTTGTAAATTTCATACACACCCTTGTCAGGTAAATCTCATACAGACTCTTGTCAGGTAAATCCCATGCAGACTCTTGTCAGGTAAATCTCATACAGACTCTTGTCAGGTAAATCTCATACAGACTCTTGTCTTGTAAATCTCATACAGACTCTTGTCAGGTAAATCTCATACATCCTCTGGTCTTGTAAATCTCATACAGACTCTTGTCTTGTAAATCTCATACAGACTCTTGTCAGGTAAATCTCATACAGACTCTTGTCAGGTAAATCTCATACAGACTCTTGTCAGGTAAATCTCATACAGACTCTTGTCAGGTAAATCTCATATCTCTTGTCATACAGACTCTCTGTCTTGTAAATCTCATACAGACTCTTGTCTTGTAAATCTCATACAGACTCTTGTCTTGTAAATCTCATACAGACTCTTGTCTTGTAAATCTCATACAGACTCTTGTCAGGTAAATCTCATACAGACTCTTGTCAGGTTAATCTCATACATCCTCTGGTCTTGTAAATCTCATACACACTCTTGTCAGGTAAATCTCATACAGACTCTTGTCAGGTAAATCTCATACAGACTCTTGTCAGGTAAATCTCATACATCCTCTGGTCTTGTAAATATCATACAGACTCTTGTCAGGTAAATCTCATACAGACTCTTGTCAGGTAAATCTCATACATAATCTGGTCTTGTCAATCTCATACACACTCTTGTCTTGTAAATCTCATACAGACTCTTGTCAGGTATATCTCATACATCCCCTGGTCTTGTATATCTCATACACACTCTTGTCAGGTAAATCTCATACACACTCTTGTCTTGTAAATCTCATACACACTCTTGTCAGGTAAATCTCATACACACTCTTGTCTTGTAAATCTCATACACACTCTTGTCAGGTAAATCTCATACAGACTCTTGTCAGGTAAATCTCATACAGACTCTTGTCAGGTAAATCTCATACAGACTCTTGTCAGGTAAATCTCATACATCCCCTGGTCTTGTAAATCTCATACACACTCTTGTCTTGTAAATCTCATACAGACTCTTGTCAGGTAAATCTCATACAGACTCTTGTCAGGTAAATCTCATACATCCTCTGGTCTTGTAAATCTCATACACACTCTTGTCAGGTAAATCTCATACAGACTCTTGTCAGGTAAATCTCATACAGACTCTTGTCAGGTAAATCTCATACAGACTCTTGTCTTGTCAGGTAAATCTCATACAGACTCTTGTCAGGTAAATCTCATACAGACTCTTGTCAGGTAAATCTCATACAGACTCTTGTCAGGTAAATCTCATACATCAGACTCTTGTCTTGTATATTCTCATACACACTCTTGTCAGGTAAATCATACACTCTTGTCAGTAAACTCTCTTGTCAGGTAAATCTCATACAGTAAATCTCATACAGACTCTTGTCAGGTAAATCTCATACATAAACTCTTGTCAGGTAAATCTCATACACACTCTTGTCTTGTAAATCTCATACAGACTCTTGTCAGGTAAATCTCATACAGTCTCTTGGCAGGTAAATCTCATACAGACTCTTGTCAGGTAAATCTCATACAGACTCTTGT